TTTGATGTTTCTTTCAAATTGAACAAACCCTCCCCGACTCAGCGTGTCTGCTTTTGGGCTACAGGAGGAGCTGCACAGTACCCCCACCCCTACTCCCACACTGAGAAAAGGAAGTAGGGTCCAGCTGCCCAGCCCAGCTTGTGTTTGCTCCCTGCCCACATTCTGCAAGAACGCACCCTCGTGAGACACTTCTGGACCCAGCGACCTCTCCAGTCCCAGGCCCTGCTGTGGCATGTTCCGCTGAGCCTCTTTCCTGATTCATGTCCTTACCATGCACTATTCTATATCTTCACAGCACCCCTCTGAACCCAAGCTATGCTCCTTTCCTGCTAAGCACAAACAAGTTCCTGGACTCTAAGGCCAGTCCCCTGCCCTCCTCTGTCCTGCTCTTCCTTTGGACACAGACATGGAGATGTTGCTCTTGAGCGGCACAGGAGCAATAGAGAGCAGGCAGGAAGAGGAAAATGCTAGCACCCGATCGCAGGCTGTCCCATTGAAGACTCTTGGGAAGTGGGCAGCATCTGTCAGCTGCCAACCCACCGGCTCCTACCCCTGGGCCTCTGCTCTAGGACATTCCGCCCGCCTGAGAACCACCACATGTCCAGACAGCCATATCCACACCCCCCTAACCAAGGGCAAGTGAAGTGACTGGGGTTCCTACCCTGGGCCACCAGGCAACATCTGTAAAAAGGAAGTGCTAGCTGGACGTGTTGACATATGCCTGCAATTCTAGAACTCAGGAGGCTGAGGCAGGAGAATTGCTGTGAGCTTGAGACCAGACTGGGCCACATAGTGAGTTCAAGGACAGCCTGAACTACATAGTGAAACCCTGTGTCAAAAAACCAGTAAGTAAATAAAATAAAAGGTCCTGACATGAGAAGTTTTTCAAAACTTACTCTTAGACATATATAGCATTATATAGATACTTGCATATTTATTTTTTTTTAATTTTTATTATTATTTATTTTTTGGCAGAACCGGGAATTGAACTCAGGCCCTTGCGCTTAGCTCTTATTCCACTGAGCCATCTTCCCCTTGCATATTTATTAATGGCCCAAATTTTCTTAAAACATGTATAGTGTGTTTGTGTGTCTGTGTGTGTGTGTGTGTGTGTGTGTGTGTGTGTGTAACAAAGATCTGTGGAAATTAGGATGGGAATAATGTGTGAACTTTCATGGTTATTCTGTGTTTTTATGCTGAAGCAATTCAGATGTTTTCAATCTCACCTAATGACTGAACACCCCAGCTACTTGAATAATAGGATAGCTACTGCACATACCTGTGCTGCACGACCTAGGATTCAACCAAAAACTACACGGACTGAAACACAACCCATCAGAGTTTCCCAAGTTAGATGACATTTCAGTGTACATCTATGTTGATACATGTACCTATTGCTCATTTAGTTTTATTGCTATACAATAATTCATTGCATTATGAAAATGCCTTGATTTATCCATGGATATTTTGTTGTTTCTATTTTAAGATATCACACACAATGCTACAGTCGACTTTTTGTTTTATTTTACTTTTTATTCTTTTTAAAGAGCACAAAATAGAGATATAAAGAAAACAGGGTCAGAAGTGATACAAGGTTTCACTAAACAAAGTAACAAGAATTCAACAATGGTTGCTGTATTATATGATGCTATCTTTAAATTAGTTGTTCATGTTAGCAGATATAAATATGTAATATTTGTTTAAAAAACAATAACAAGTTATACGAAATTTGAAAGAGGAAAAAAATCAGAGTAAAAAAAAATTAAACATTAAATGCTCCTTTCAAAAGACCAGCAAAAATTGACAATACAATTATCCAAACTATTCTA